AAATTTTATTAATTAATTAGGTGAGTTAGTTTAATTTATAATTGATGAAGTTAATTAATTTTAATTAAAATAAATTAATTATATTTATCAAAAATTTAATTTAGGATAATTAGATTTATTTGATTATTTCAAATAAAGATTAATAAATGTGATTAATTAATTTTAATTGATTTTAATTAATTAATTTCAATTCTTAATTTTCTTTAATTTGGGTCAAAGTCAAAATTATCTTTATTCATTTCAATTTTACCCAGAACTTTAATGATTAAACAATTTAGTCCATGGATCAATTTTTTTTCAAATCAGTCCTCTGTGTTTTGAACTTAACCAAATTAGTCTTTCATGTTTCGAATTTAATCAAAATTAATCCCTTTAATTTTTATTTGTGCCTCTGGTGTATATATGTCTTTGATTTCATCCATTTCAGTCCAAAAATTTAAAAATGTTGCAATTTGGTTTATCTCTTTTTCAAGTTTGCTTGTTAAGACCTAAATATAAACATAATGGATAAGTTGAATTAAAACCCCCAATGTTAAAGTATGCAACTGTGTTTTAACAGAGGATTGTGAGGTGCGTATATGGCATTCCTAACTCCTAACCGAACCTTCAAACCCCAATCTCTGTGCAAACCCGTTTCAAGTAACTTGTTCTACATTATAATTTTGACGAGTGATGACTCTTTTTTTTTTTATATTTTTACACTTAATTTTTCATTGTTTTGAAATTTTAAGTGGTCATCAACAATATATATAACTCAAAAAAATTTAAATCCTAATATCATAAAATATAAAACTCAAAAAATTTAAACCCTAACACTCTAAATATTAAATCTTAAAAAATCTAAACCTTAACTAACATCCTAAACATTGGCTAAGTTATGAACCCACAAACATAAATTGACTAATTAAACAATATCAAATCAATGGGTAATAATAAACAAACAATTAATTTGTATAGCTTTTATAGGTTTTTCTTACATATGTTCTAAGAAAGCAATTAATGTAC